ACTTTGATTCAACTGAATAAATAGTCTTCCAACTTCAACCCAATTTGAGTAATGATCTCTCAATTTTAATCCAATTCTAGCAATAGTCATTCCAACATAACTTATTTTAACATAATTCTAATAGAATTTATGAAAAGAACCATAGCTACACGTTTTAATGAGAAGGGACCAATGGTAATGGATTTTTAGTTGAGGGACTATTGCTCCAATTTGATTAAAGTTGAAGGATCGTTACTACAATTTATTCAATCTAATATGATATGACTATTTAAGCCTCATATTGTTTTGAAAAGACAAAAAATAAAAAAATAAAAAATAAAAAATAAAAAAACCCTATTAATTTATGAATACGACCCTAATCAATCTCAATATGTATTCTAAATTATCTTCTTTAAGGTATCAATTCCAACCCTCCCATCATGACATAGAATCATATGAGTGCAACTTACCTGTGCACCCCAATTCTAATTCCATATCAACAGTTACTACAAATATTGCATAGAGGTATCTGATTCAACACAATATTGCATAGAGGTATCTGATTCACCACAATATTAACATCAATGTGGAGCCAAAATAATCTCAAAGTTTTTGAAGGCGACACGTGGACTTTCAATTTAAAAAGACAAGACTTGACGCACCCCGACCGAGATCGGGGTATGCTGGCCGTCACGTGGAAGTGACGTAACCATATGCATAGTGCGGAAGCTAAGAAATAAAAATAAAAATACGAATAAAACAAACCTAGCTATACACAAAGTAATAACATACATGTGCAAGCGTAAGTATGAAAGACAAAGTTCAGATCACGGAAGACCTAGTGTAGTCCGGGAGAAACAACACTAAATAAATACACCCAAATGTGGTCCTACACTGGTGATAATCTGTCAGATAAGTCGAGAAATCCTCTGGGGAGCCACCAAAAGCGCTAGCCAAACTAGAACCTGAAGGGGCGCAAAACAGAAAGCGTGAGTGGGCAAAAACAAAGCTTTTAAAACCATTTCATAAACAAGTTATAACCCCTCGCCGTAAAACCTGTATACTTCCCAAAAAATAGAATATACAAATATATTTAAGTCATGCTCAGAAATATGCCATGCCAAATGCCTCGAAATAAAATGCAAGTACTCAGGTAATGTCAAACAATGCCATGTAATCTGTCAGCCGGAGTCACCTAACGTGACCTATACGGCTGAATCTAGAGCTCAAATCTCTAACTCACTAACTACACCTGCACACGAGTCGGAACCACCTAAAGTGGTCTGTACGACAGGACTGGATGTAAATAAGTACACTCAAGTGCTCCGATCACGTGAAGACTAGGTGAATAATCGCGGGTCACCTAAGAGTCGGAACCACCTAAAGTGGTCTGTACGACAGGACTATGTGCCTAACTTGGATCCAAGATGAGCGTGTGGTGCAGGAGGTGAACATCACGTGAAGGACTGTGCCCAACTCTAGACGGGAGCACCAACACCGGAGGTGCAGGTTATGAGCTCTCTATGCATCTCAAATCACCACTGGACGTAAACATAAATCATAACTCACCTGGCACTTACCTGTGCGTCCGCAGCACCAACACATATATACATAGGCAACTAATAATGCATAATTAAATGGGCAAACATAATGCATGGCATATCAACGTATAAACATTTCATTTCACTTTCTGGGAAAAACATAAGTATATAGGTATATACGGAAAACCAAAAGCCCACTCACTGGTATGTAGAAGGGTCGTAACCCCCTTGCCTCGAGTGACCGCGCTCGTCCTCGGGATAGGTCTCACCTATATGCGAAACAACTATAAAAATGTAAATTTTAAAGCACATAACCAACATTACAAAATAACTTCTCATACAATGCTCAAATGGGGTGCATGAATACACTAACGTGATCTACTCAACCTCACGAACATCCCCATATTTTTAAAATAATTTTCCGACGCCGCACGTGCCCCCACACGCCGGCCAAGGCATGGCCACACGCGCCGCCCATGCGCAAGCACGTGCCTGGCACACTGACGGCGTCAGTTAACGCCGTCAGGAATATTCCGTTAAATCTAACTGATTCCATTAACGCTGTTAGGAATATTCCGTCCAAACTGACAGAATATTCCGTCATCTTCTCTGCCCAAACTTCGGCTCCGGCAACGCCGTCGGAAAACCGGGAAATTTTCTAAACTTGATATCTCACTCGTTTTTCATCCAAATTTCATAAAATTGGTACCAAAATGAAGCTTACAACAAGAGGAACAAATCCATACCACCTTCAAGCACTAAAACCACCGGAATCTCGCCGGGAAAACACCACCAACTCCGGCCAAACCTGCAACTCACAATCCCGACATCCAAAACCTTCAAACGAACCACCCCGAGCCTCCTAAGAACCTCACCAAGCTTCCTACAAGCTTGAAATTCCCAAAAACACATGAATTAACATGTGCATGAACAGTGACCAAAATCGGGATCTCGAGTTCGACGTGAAAACGAAGGTATCCTTACCTGAAATGGGTATGGTTGAACTCCTAAGGACCTCACGAGCACAAATATGTAGTTTGTTTCCTCGATCTGTGAAGATTTCAAGGGTTTGTGGTGTTGTCTATACGAAAAGGATAGGAAATGGAGAGAGAGAGGGTCTCGGGACAGGGCAGAGAGAAAGAGGAAATGAGGGTGGGTATGTGTGTGGTCCAAAATCAACCAATCAAAACCCAAAAACGACCACACAACGAAACAAACATACTAGGGGCAAAACCATCATTTCACCCCTACGGTATAAAAAGTCCAGGACGGGCTGTCACAAGACTGACCTTATTAAATGGGCAAGCATCCCACGCATAGCTCAGCATCATAGGACATTGGAAAATTACTAATACACTCCCAATTGAAGACAAACTCTATCAAGTAAGTAATTCCAATTATATTTAAGTAAGGAAAAGTACCTTTATTTCCAAGATATTATTAACACAATATCTTGGAAAATTCCCACTAGATTAACCCTAAAATGGCCGGCCACCTCCTCTATAAATACCTCATTTCTCCACACAAAAATGGTGCGTATTTCTATACACATAAAAACCCTAAACACTCCCTCTCTTCAGAGAGACTAATTTAGGCATCAGACATCCATTGGCCAAAACCCCCAACTCATTGTGGGCGTGTGAGATTTTTGGTCTTTGATCAAAACTGTTGATTATTTTGTAGGTGCATTTTCATCAAGACTGAAGACGACAGAAACTTGCATCGACAATTAACTTACCTGGGTAGCCCAATGTCAATATGTGTGCATTTGGTTCCTTGGAAAAAGGATTTAGATCCTCTCTCCGAACCCCTCACTGGGGATCCCGATGATCAATGCATAGTAACCGTTTATCAAAGATCGTGCGGCCACAATTTTTTTTTTTATTATTATATATTTTTCATGCAAAACTATACTGCTTTACATTTAAAAATATAAAAAGCATTCAATTGTGGTTGCACGATCTTTGATGAACAGTTACTATGCATTGATCTCCGGAATTCCCAGTGAGGGGATCCGGAGAGGATCTAAATCCTTTTAATTGCTTTGGATGAATGTGGTAATTTTTATTTTATTTTATGTGCATTTGGGTGAATGTGGTAATTCGGTTTTTTATTTTCTCAGTCGTTTTTCATCATCCTCTCTACTGAAATACTAGCAAAATTGAAAAGTCGTGGAAAGGAAAAAGATTTGGGAAAGGAATAGCTGAGATGGCTGCATTGCGCATAAAAAGATTGCTTTTCAATTTATTGTTTACACTAATTTTACTAAAGGATTGAGCTTGAATATGCTGGATACCTATCCGTAATTGCATACATGTATATTTGAAAGAATTTTAAGGATTGTTGCTATTTTAATGTTTTAATTGCTTTGGATTGCGAAGAACCGCTCACAACAGTAGTACATTGGGAGTGTGATTGTGTTAACTAGGACCCTTATCTCCAACTAGTCTACCAGCATAATGAAATCATCTCAAGTTACTATATCACCAGAGTAAAAGTATGAGAACCTTGAAAGTTCACCATGCTATTAAAATTCACGAATTCTCCAACAGAATGGGCTTCCACTTTTCATTGGCAAATCAAGAGTTTGATGATAAAACGTGGCTCCGTGGGAATCATGATTAAATAGGATTTCAACGTATATAAATAGTATTGCCTATTTTGCGCGCGCGCGTGTAACTTTTTACGCGTTCTATATGATTCTAAAACTAAAACCTGCAGCATCACACGGGGGCCTTCCTTTAGTATTAGCACCAGAGCTGTTGCCCGCGCTTGGCCGCGGGAATGTCAGATAGATTATAAAAACACTGCATTAATGGATGCCCACTGAAGCCTTAAAATTTTAAAACCGTATAATACAAACAGGTTTTACAACACTAAAAATCTTCAACTCTCGCATTTTGTTCCAAAATTATATACGCACTCTAAAGAATCACTTAAGTTCCGCATTCGTTGTAACCCCCAAGGTAGACCACCAATCCTGGCCAATACCAACACCCTAATCTCTACTAATTAATAAAACACTCATTGTCAACCAAAATTTTATGAAATTATCAGTTTAACCCTCTAATTAAAACAGAACACGAATAAGAAATATGGGGCAAAAATGTAATTTCACATAATCAAATTTTACTGTTTTTTATCAAAGCTTCACATGTAATCCTAATATATCTAATTAAAATAAAAAAAATAAAAAAAAAAAAAACTTCCCACTCCCACATTCTCTATCACTCTCTTCCTCTCTCCTATTTCAAAAACAAAAACAAAAAAATTTCTCACACATTGTGTGTGCCCATATGATAGTAAACATGGTATTAAAATATTAGTCTCATCTATGATATATTTGTTAGTCATTGATAGAGAGATTAAAAAAGACCTCTCTCAATGTTATTGTGTCATAGTAATAATTTATATTACTTCTTTTATTGTAACGAAACCTATACAAGTTTGCAATATTCAAACAATTTTAAACATTTTGGATTAGAACACGGGCAAATGAAAATATAAGTTAATGCAAAATCTTTAGCACATCAACTTGCAAAATATTTGCAATATACTGAGATCTATCACAAACAAAACAACGTCAAAACCAAAACTACTAACTCCCTAAAAAATCGAAATCAAGCTTAAAACACTTAAATCAGGAAAAAGAGTTGGAGAAGCAACAACTGACATTATTTTCCAAAGCTTTTCAAGGTTGGCAATATAATACATATGCTTCCCAGGAGCTTCAACATGAAAGCTTCATAAATTGATGAAATGGATTGGAGCAAAAGTAATTTGAATGCCTTCTTCTTCTTTCTGAACCAAAAAAAAAAAAAAAAAAAATTTAAGATTAGATATTACAAACTGATGTACACATAATAATAGAATTGGTGTCAATTTCTCCATGTTATAGTAATACCTCATAACAAATCGTCGGCAAACAAAATCGGTTTAAGTTTTTGAATTAAAAAAGCCAAAACACATTTTCAGAGAGTCCATTAGCCAGATAAAATCATAATAGCCAATAGCAGACAAATACAGAAAAAGATAGAAACAAATAGAATCGTTTAAATTTTGTATGCTGTTAGTTTCTCAAGTAACCTTTACATGTTCATTCAAATTATGCATGTATTGGGGCGCTTTAAGCAGAATAGTAGTGTATTATTCAGAATTTATTTTCAAATGATCACAAATGAATCTCCCACTATTCTACTTAAAACACTATTATTCTACTCAAAACTAAGTGAAAATTGCGTTGTTTTTATAAAAACATTGAAAAACATATGAACTCATGCCCAACTTTGATTAATCCATCATTAATAGATGACTATTTCAACACTAAGAGTTGATTAGAGAACATTGGAAAACATATGAACATGCCCACCTATTATCATATATGACATTGCAGTTGATTAATCTCACATAAATCCACATCAAAAGAACCCAGAAATTTAATGAAGAATTTTCCAAAACCCACAACTAAAACCCACAAATTTAAACGAAAAACTCTATAAAATCATGAAAAATTTAATAAAATCAGAGTATATTATCATACAAATTTGGGCATATGCACTTATAACACAAACTTGCACAAATTTGGGGGGCTTGAATTTGAAGAACCCAGATGGAATTTACACACAATCTGAAAAGAATGAAAGCAACTGTATTATAGGAAAAGTTGTTACAATTAAGAAAATATAAGATATTGCCTCGTTGCACTATATGATCTCGGGATCCAAATAGAAAATAAGTAAACAGAAAGAGAAGTTTTGTAAAACAATAAAAAACTTGCTTTGTGTTAACTAATGAATGGTCTGAATTGTGAAAAAAATCGAATTCAAATCCTCCTTCAGCAACCTAAGAATTAAGCCCATAAAAATTTAAAAATTCTAATATGAAAAGAATAATAAAGCAATATGTATTCAAATTACAGGAGATAAATCAAAATATAAACCATCAGAAACAAAGCTTCGATCTATTCAAACTCCATATTAAATTTTGTTATCAAATATAAAAAACTATCATGAAGCCCTGCACTTCATTATATAAAAACCCCATCATAAGGAACGCTGCTATTTTGCCCATGTGGGACAAGCGGGTCCTATCGTTTCATCAGTAGAAAACTCAAATAGATTATATATCATAATTCAGAAAACAAGTCGGAGGAAAATATTAGATTATTGAGCAAGTATTAAATAATGGGTTCACCATATTTATAACTCAATAAATTCAAAGGAAAACTAACGAAAAGTCCAAAAAAAACTTCCCTTTTAATGAAAAACCATTTTTAAAGGTATAGTGAATAGTACTAGAAAAATGTATAAATGTAATTTTTCGTTAAAAGTGATCAGTACCGGGGGTGTTTTGTTAAACCTCTCTAAATTCAATCCAACATCAAAATTCTATGAATTATATAGTTAACCCTATATTTTTTGCCAATGAATATTCAAAGTATTTGGTGATAAAATAATGCATAACAGAATCAATCATCAATTCATTAACAACTAAAAATAATATTCATTAAACCGATAGTATAAATCTATTCAACAGAAGTTAAGAGAACTAATAATGAATTTGACCTACTATTTTATTTGTATATTCGATTTCTAAATTCAGTATATATAAAATTTGTTCAATGGAGGCAAAACACCCAACTCTATTAAATTCAGTATTACCTTTTAATTGTGCAGTTTGGGAAGGCTGGATTCTCACCTTCTCTGGGGCCTGGTTCTCTGGAAATCGTCATGAGAGAAGGGGTGAAAGAGAGTGTTTGAGTGTTGTATATTGGTACAAAACCAATTAGATAAACATCTTCCAACGGTGCAAACTGAAACTTGAACAAATCCAGAATAAAATGAAAATAATTACAGAATATAGGAACAAACCATACTTTGTCAAATGACATATTCAAGCTGCATATAAACATTTCCAAGTAAATTCAAATCTCAAATCAAAAGAGAATAGAAGAAACCATACTTTTATACAATATCATCAATTAACTCAGAAAAATTTCTTCATGCTAGCTAAAGAATTATCAAAATCTTCATGGAAGATGTAGTTCACATCATCATCAACATATCTAGCATTTTCTCACTCCCAAATCTTTATAAATTTTCACGCACAAATTTTTTTTCTTTTTCAAGAAAAAGTGAAGCTTTTCACACTATATCTATCATTTCATAGGACCCAATAAGGAAGATAAATGATTTTTTTGGGTGCAAATTATGGAGTTTCTTTCACTCTTTCTCACGCAATTTAAAACCCATCTCAATGAACTAAACAAAAAGCTGTAAAAAGAAATACCCAACTATTAAGCCAATTTCTATATTGTTGATAAACGATAGAATAATTTACGCTAAACTCATCTTATTATAAAATTACTATTTACCTGCACAGCGAGCGAGGGAGTTCCAGCGGCCTTCGCCGTGGTTAGCAATGTAATTCATGAGAGCTAGATCTTCCTCAACAGTCCAAGGCCCTCTTCGCAGGTCCATCATTTGATCCTCAGCCTCCTCATGATCATGAGAGCCAGTTTCATAGAGGATTTCTGCCGAGACTTGTGATGATGGGCTGTTGCAACCTCTACTTCTTTTCGCCATGTCCATCTCCAGAACATCAATTCTCCAAATGGACACACAAAAAAAGGGTTTGCTTAATGCTTTCCTTGAAGAAAAAAAGGTGTGAGACAGAGAGAGACGAACCTTCTTGTGGTGGCCAGGAGTTCCGGGCTTGAAAGAGAGCTCGAGAAAAACCTGTTCTGGAAGCCAAAGAGAGTGGAATGAGAGAGACACCCCCGGTTTCCCCAACTTTTCCAGCTTCCTTCCGTTCCCAGATGAGCAACACGTGTACATCCATACTCCTTCCCTTCCTAGATGACCAGCACGCATACAGCCAACCCCATTTCTATCTTAGATGACCAACACGCGAACATGATGGGTAAACCAGTAAATTCACTACGCAAAATGGAAAAAAAGGGCTTCTATCAAAGGAACTGGAGGGCATTTTCGCCTATTCATTGTTAATGAACACTGTTTTTGTGTTGGGTTTTAGTATATGTATAATATACCCTAAGATTTTGCACCGTGTATGTTGTTCCAAATGGAAAACCGTCATCAGCACGCACATCTCATGACGACACATTTAATCAGCAGTTCTTCAAGTTACGTCTAGTTCACAGACAAGTACTGCACATGACTAAGGTTGAGTGACATTTTCATATGATGTAGTGCGTCGATGGTACTATGTAAGAAGAAAATATTTAACTAAGGCTTCTGCTTTCCAGGCACAGATCGTGGCTAAGTTGGTTCATACACTCACTTCCGTTCTCCTTCCCTAACAATGCAGTGGTTTCAAGCTTTAAACGAAAATCAACCAGACCCTTCTTAGTACAAAGACAAATACAAAAGACATTATCCATTCTAGATCTCAATCTCACGATCTCAGGGAAGGGATGGATAATATTTCATGTACTGAGCCAGATCTGTACCAGCGGAAGCGTTGTTACAGATACTAGGGTCATAAACTTCTGATCAAGCGTCCACCTCAGATGTGGTTACTGATTATTAATGTGAGAGCCAGGTTGCTTCACGATTTCTTTTGAGTTGGTTAAATGGTGCTACTCAAGGAAATATGCAGAAAAAGACTACGAATTTCATATAGGCGATTAGAGATCTGGTTTACAAATTACATGGTAGGTAGGTAGTTCTCATTGATTTCAGTAATGTGAGAGTTGTATGTTTTACAGACTACAGTAGTGATTGAATTGATTAATTTTCACGTGCATCGCAAGCAACCATCAACATGGAGTTAGAAAAGATGAGAAGTGAACTCAGACATGTCAAAGGAATGCATGCAATGTCTCAAAGCGAGACTATTGATGCTTCAAGAAGGGTAGGCATTTTTAACGTCATTGACGTCAGGAATACTTTATGTTTCTTAAGATATTTTATTCGAATAGTAAGAAATTTTACTTTTTGATTATCAGATAAATAATCTAAATAAATGTCGACTGGAGGATGCGAGAATGCTTAAGGAGATAAATTCTATAAAGGTGTTGGAAGACTATAAATAAATTCGAAAGGACGTGTGTACCTTTTATGCGGAAGCTTGAATCTCAACACGCTCCTACAAACACGAACAACTGTTCTGACCCTTCGTGCACATCTAGAACCTCGCAGGTCATCAGGTTGGCTACGGTATGTTGAGTTACCCCTTAGTTTTCGCCTCTCAAGATCTAGAGCCGAAAGTGATAGCTCTAAAGACCTAACTAGAATATTTGAATTGTGGAAAAGTTTGTGTTTCTTATATCTTTCTCTCTTCCCTAAAGCCTCCTTATATAGTGGTTGGGAAGAGTGTAGAAAGACTGAAAAGCCGATGAAAATCCCAAGTATATTCTAATATGAATATCTCTTGATTTTCATCTAATTATCACATCGATAATTAGGAGGTTAATATCCTCCTGTGGGTGGAATATCCCTTGATATTTATTTATCCCATAAGATAAATCCGACATCTCTCACTCACCTACATAGGGTGTGGCATAGTCTCAATCAACACACTTAGTTCACATCCATTCTAGTCTATCTCCTCATACAGGAAATGGGACGCAAAACCTTGCGAGAAAGAACGTACATAACAAGGAGCACTGTCATTAAGCTATCACTAAACAAACAACAATGCATCACTCGAAAGTTCATCGCTTTATGCCCCAGACTGTTTGTCACACACCAGACTTGACATTCTTTATCCCTTGTTAAAAATAATGTCATGTCTCACAAGTATCATGTATCCATGTCTTATGTTTGATAACAAATATCAAAAGACGTCGCGTAGCCAATGAATCACATGACATGGTGTTATCTTCGAACTATCTTCTTTAAGATCTCATGTCAGTCTAATTTGATTTAACTAGACACGCATCTTGGGATAGTAGCTAACTTGACCATCTTAGATAAACGTGCTAAAGTAACGATCATTAAATCTCATTTTTCTAACGTAGACTTTAGTTCAAAAGGCATAAGGGTGGAATCATATAGATTCCTTGTGGTTCACACAATGATTGAAACAGGGATCAATTCATCACTCCCACTATCAGTCAGTTATAGCACATACAGTATGATTTGTATGCTATGGTGTATCCTCATTTCAATGAGTGTTTCACATGTCCATTGGACATACACCATACGGATCTTAGTCTAGTCGCTACACAAGCGCCTAACCTGAGTCTTCTAGCCTAATCGCCTTCTCGGCACCCACCTAGATACTCATATCTAGCTTTACAAGCTTCAACATGAAACAAAACTCATGTTCGACTTCTGTTAAGTCTCATTTTAGACATTAATTTTTAAGGTGGCGTTTACCTTGTGCATATTGGTACGTTCAACATACATGTGTCCGGTCTCGTAGCCCAACGCGTTGAGAAAACAAATGTCTCATCCTATTCATTATCTCAGCGCCAGGTTGAATCGTTCGTGTGAAAAACATATTCTAGCTTGGTGACACTCTTAAAGATGTGTAAACAATCATTTCAAAAATAAATATGAAATGAAAAACTTCAATACCTTTTTATTCAATAATAATGTCAAATACAAAGAAAAACACATCAAACCCTACATAAACCCATATTCTTTTTACATGAGTCAGAAACGAGTTTCTAATTATGGGTTTAGTCATGGGATCAATTTGCATATTGCTGGTCGAGATATGTTTCAACACTACTTCACCCTTGGTAACCTTGTTCCTAAAGAAATGATATCGTGTATCTATGTGCTTAGATTTGCCATGATACTTAGGATCTTTAGTGTATGCTAAGGCGAAGTACTATCATAGTAGACAAGTACATCTTCTTGAACAGCTGATCCAAGGGCAACATATTCTGACTCCATTGTGGACAGAGCAATACAAGTTTGCTTCTTGCTACACCAAGAAACAATTCCACCTCCAAGGACAAAAGCATAACCTGAGGTGGACTTGCGTTCATCTCTATCGTTTGCCCAGTCTGCATCATTATATCCTCTCAACTTCAGATCCCCTCCTTGGTAACATAGGGCTAAATCTTTTGTTCCTTGCAGGTATGTCATAATCCTCTTGACGACTTGCCAGTGAGCTTGTCCAGGATTACTTTAATAGTGGCTTACCGGCCCACGGTATGGCAAATGTCCAGACGCGTGCAAAGTATTGTGTACATTAGGCTTCCTACTGCAGAGGTATAGAGGACGTTTGCCATTTATTCTTTCTCTTTCTTAGTCTTTGGACACTATTCTAAGGACAATATCACGCCTCTTTCCATATGAGTATCTGTGGGTTTGGAGTTCTCCATCTTAAATCGTTCAGGTACCTTCTTAATCTAAGTCTCTTGAGATAAAATTAAAAGTTTCCTTGAGTGATCTCTCGTGATCTTAACTCCGAGCACATAATGTGCTTCACCCATATCTGTCATCTCAAAATGGGATGACAACCACACTTTCGTGGTTTATATGGAGGTTTTGTCATATTAGGATGTTGTCAACATATAGAGAAAGTATGAGAATGCTTTTCCCAGATTTCTTAAGATACACATAGTGGTGTTCCTCAATCATCTCAAAACCAAATGAAGTGATTGAATTATGGAATCTAATATTCCACTGTCTAGACGTTTGCTTGAGGCCATATATGGAACGTTTTAGGCGGCAAACTTTGCGCTCTTGTCCCTTGGCCTCGAAGCCTAGGGGTTGATCCATGTGTATCTCATCGTCTAGTTCTCTATTGAGAAATGTTGTCTTAACATCCATTTGGTAAAGTTTCAAATCTGGTTAAGCAACAATAGCTAAAATGAGGCAAATAGAGGCAAACATCACCACAACAGAGAATGTCTCTTCATAGTCTACACCCAATTGTTGAGTGTATCCTTTTGCCGCAAGGCGTGCCTTATATTTGTCAATTGAACCATCGGCCTTGCATTTGATTTTTAAAACCCACTTGTTTCAAATGGTTTTACGTCCAGGCGGAAGGTCAACTAACTCCCAAACAGTATTTTTGTCCATGGAGCTCATCTTTTCCTCCATTGCAATTATCCACTTTTCTTTGTCCGTTGAAGACAACATTTTTTTGTAAAAAGAAGGTTCGTCTTCCTCTGAAGGTATGCAAATGTAGGCGTCCTCATCAACCTCAAAATGACGTTTGAGAATGTGGCCTATCTTGCTTCTTCGAATTGTGTGACCTTGAATTTCAGAGGCTACACTCCCATTATTAGGCGTATGCTTTTAAGTGTTTATGAATACATTAGTCCCACTGGGTTGTGTACTCCCACTCGGATCAAGTCGTCCTACATCATATTCAGTGACCATTGGATTGGAAATTAATTTCCCTCATTCGAATGAAGATGTTACGTGTTCTTCATCTTTCTCCAACTCATGGAGATCAAGGCTTTTGACAGTATCAACAACTTTTGGGAAGTCATTCTCTATGAATTCCACATCACGTGAATCAATCTTGATTCTCCCTCAATCTGGATGTTCACCATACATCACATAACCTTTTGAGTTTTCACAATATCTTAAAAGATATTGTTATTTGCTCTAGGACCCAACTTTCCAAACTTATGTGATTGATTATGAATAAATCCAGCACAACCCCAAGGACCCAAATTACCCATATTGGGTTTTACATCATTCCAAAGTTTGTATGGAGTTGAGGGAACCGTCTTTAAAGGCACACGGTTAAGTATATACGTCGCAGTCAATAAGGAAGGTAATATTTGTGAAAACTAGTTTATTTGAGCAACATCTATGCATGCAATTAACAA